AAGACTAGCAGTAAGCAGTCGAAACGTCGCAATCTACATCTCAAGTGACTACATCATGAGACAAACAATAGTACACTTTATTATTGCATCTACCACGATGAATAACAACAACCTTTTCCTCAACATTTTTCTTGTAATGTTAACCGAATTACAACTTTGAATACGAGTGATCGTCAAAGGGTTCCACCTTTGCCAGTTTGAAATAAATGTTGGCAAGCATTTCACTGCATACAAGGAAAAGGGAGAACGCGGAAACACATTAAAAGTTACAGAACTAATGAATGTGGGCAAATAAGAACCTTTTTAATATTGTTAATGATTTATTTTAAGTGCCCATTCCCAACATCTTGTACATTTTTAAACGTGATGAAATTTGTAACCAATAGATACCAAATAGGCCATCAATTGCCATTGGTAATTGATGAACAATCAACAAAAGGTCAAACAAATCCTGTTCATCAATTGGTATTGGTTATCGATTATCAATTTCATAGATTGGACACCCTGAGATGTTCAGTAACTAAAACTTTCTCCTCTTCAGTCATTATTTTACCACTAGTTTTTGACTAAACTAATGAAGAAATAAAAATTTCAATTGTTTTGTGTGCTTATTACCATAGAAATAAGAACATATGTGGGCATATGGCAGGTAATCTTTCTTTGCAAACAATCTGACTAGAAATTCATCAACTCTAACCATTAAGGCCTCTGAAAACCAATTTACAACCCAGATTTTATCAGTTTTCTTCTGTAAATGAACCCGAACACATGCATGATCGATCAATACTCATCTTGTATCTTGCTTTCCCCAGTTATCAGTAGTGTCGTCAGTTTGTTCATGTATCACACTCTTGTCTGCCCCTTCTGGAACCTCCCCCCTCCCCTGCCCTTGGAATTCTAATCGTAAGTACCCCCCATGCCTTTGGATTTCCAGTTCAAAGAAACCCCCTTGCCCTCGGAATTCGAAAAAGTCACCCAAGGTATAGGTATGGATATTTTCTGGAATCACCCATTGTGCTAAGTGTGGTTAGAAGCAGTTGATAAAAAAAGAGTAAAACATATGTTCAGATTGCTTAAATACTGAGAAAAGAGTTTGGCATCTTGAGGATAATCCATTTACTTGTACTTGCAAGGTGGCTCCTCCATCAAAATACCTTTCTGTTGATTTACCTAGAACTTCTAAGACCAGCAACACCAAACATATCAACTGGCAATTGCCCTACATCCAAGATCTCTGCAAATCTCTACTTCGTTGTGGCTCCTCTGGTCAAGCAACTCCCTACATAAGTCAAAGATGCCTAACATGCCCTTGTTTCAGGCCTGGACTCATAATTCCCTTTATAGAGCTGAGTATAATGGATATCACAAGAAAGTAAGCAAACAAAATTTGTCCATTAAAAAAAATGTATGTGTACCATGTGTAACACATGTGCAGAATATGTGATCACACACGGGCCAGTTCGGGCTTACTTTGAGTCTCGCCTCGTGGCTCGACTGAAAATAAGCAGCCCGAACTGGCCCGTCCCCAGAACTATCACTAGACGTGTGTTATATTGCCAGGATCGGCCTTGTCTGCCCCAAAATCGACATTGCCCAATACCGCCGAGAGTGGCCCCAGAAAAAAATCCCAATTGAACAAGCCGCCTGCCTTTGTTTAAAGCAATCATGGCTGCGTCAAGGTTTTCATCTGATGTGATAGAGATGTTTTACAGTCCTATCTTGCGCAAAGAGAACGTGAGACTTCAGTCTCCAATCAGGACCAGCACGGATTTGATTTTCAGTTGGTAAGAACCAACTTCAACGAATGGCTTCGTGTGTGGAAAATGGCGGTCCCTGAAACCTATAAATCTAAAGCCGACCTCTTGAAATTTGCACAAAAAACGAAATCAAGATTTGCCGAAGTTGTAGAAAATGAAATTCAAACCCTGAAAAGCGCCAAAACACAGTTCTGGCTTACCGTTAAGTTTTCGATAACTAGAGATCACAACAGTAGATAGCGTACTTCGCTGATTCATTGATGAAGTCAAAGGCGAAATAGAAGCCTGGTCTCAAAGAGGCTCAGGCTGGGTGGTAGAAGCCGTCGTTGAAGCATTCGTCAATGTCACCCAATACCAACCATTTCATGGAGGCAGCTACATGCCGCTGCCCAAAAAGCTACAAAACAAAAAAGCAACCATCACTGTCCAAAAACAGAGACAACGAGTGCTTGAGATGGGCTCTACATACAGCATTATTTCCACCAACAGATGGGAAAAAGGTGACAAGAACGTCAAGCTACCCCACAGAAGACGG